TCCAGATACTATTTCACGTGCTCAGGATACAGAGACTTTGTGTAGAAATCCTAATAACAAAAAGATCTCACTGAGTCAGAGACCTGTGCTTAAGTGTAGGTGACTGGAAGGAAGCTTTGCATTAATTTGCTATTATGCCTGAAGTAGTACAGTGGGTCAAAATTGAGAACTTGCAAATAAAATGAATATATATTAGAAGTAAATGTAAAAATACTACCCAGTGTGTCAAAGCAGAGGTAAAATAAATCACCTCAAAGAGACATGACAAGAATAAGACATACCCAGAACTGTTTTTGTTTTTTGTTTGTTTGGAGAGGTTTTTGCTATAGGGTGTGTGTGCTCGCCAGAAAGACAGAGACATAGAGACAGAAAGTGAGAAATCACCCCCGGGGGGATGGCCATGCCGCAATCCCTTTTCCTTCATTCTCCTCTCGGGATCTTGGGCACGCACACACACATGCCTGGCGTGAGTTTAAGCCACCAGGCCTGGGATTCGAACTGTAGTTGACTACATGAGAATTTAGTGATATAGCCATTATGCCAACTGCTGGTCCTGCCCTGAAGTATTTTATATGTATTGTACAACTGGACATATACAAAGAATATGAAGCTCTTAATGGGGATGACATAAGTGAAGAATATGGTGATCTCAAGGGAGACCTAGAGGAAAGGAGGATCTAAGAGGGACCTTAAGGGGGGATTATATAGCTTGACAAATACAAAGAATATGATGATCTTAAGCATACGAAAACCTGCCCATGGAAGGAAAGTTGAGGAAACTTACCCAAAATTGTTAATAGATAAAGCTTATACTATTTGCAATTTGGTCTTAGGATAGGGAGAGAGAAAGAGAGGGGTCAGCTCTGTGGCCTGGTGGTTATGGCAGCTGGGTCTCTCATGACCAGCTGCTTCGTTTGAGTCCTGAACCTGGTAGCTTGAGAAACATGCAGGCAACTGTGCTTGCATGCCTAAAATCCTGAAGGGAGAGAGAGATGGAGGAAAAGGGATTGCTGTGCACCATGGGGTGCTTTCTCCTTTCTCTCTCTCACTCTGTCTCTCTGTGAGAAAGAGACATGCCCTCTGGCTAAAAACAAAAAAAAAACAAAAATTACCCATTAAAAAAAAAATACAGAGAGGGACCAGCAGGTGGCATGGTGTTAAGGAGCTGGACTTCCACATGGCCTATGGCCGTTCAAGTCCTGGATCTGGTGACTTACTTTCTCGCTCTCTCTCTTCCTCTCTCTCTCTCCTGTGAGCACGTGTGCCCTATAACAAATTTAAATAATAATAAGTAAAATTTAATAAATCATTCCTTTTTTAAAAAAAGGACAGATTTACAGGCATATATTGGGTCGTTAGGAAAGTCATGACAATTTTTTCTGTTTTTCTGTGCAAAAATGCATCATGACTTTTCCAATAACCCAATATAGCTTAAAAATTCCAGGGTAGGGCTGACTTCAGACACTATTTGAACTAAGAATTCAGTCCCATTGCCAGGACCAAGTCTTTCCTCTTGCCTCTGCTTTCTGCTGTGTTTCTTCCATTCTCAGGTGTCCTTGGCAGCTCCCTGATTGAATTAAAATAGTTCCTGCTTCCTAGCAATTCTGACAGTTTCGAGGCTTACTGATTCTGATTGTCCTTGTTTCTTTCCCTGTAGATGTCGGGCATACCACAAAAGAGATGTCCTCACGTGTACCGTGGGAGACGAAACCAGACTCTTTCGAGTATTAAAACTGTATAATTTAAGCCTAGATTTCCTGGTTTCCTAGTTCTGGGAGTTATCACTAGATGTTCTTTCTGCCCACCACCCCCAAAAATCTATTTGGGAGACAGGGAATGATAGTTCCCTCTGAGGCATTAATAATAAACACTGGCATCTTAAAAGCTGTGAGAAGTCTTGTGGTGAAGAAGCAAATTTCTAGAATTTATTGAATACACATTATGTTTTACACAGCATGTCATTTTCCTTCATCAAGCCATTGTGATAGGTTTTGGAAAATCGTGTGATAGATTATCTCCAGCATAAAAATAAATGAATCTTGTTATCTTAGTCTATTGCTATTAAATATTTAAATTATATCCTCCCCTCTTTTTAAAAAGTTTCTTTCCTTCATGAAATGGAGGAAGGGGAGGTAGGGTGGGCCATGACAGGTTCTTGTCACACCAAGATACTTCCTATGGCCTTGCAGTGAGGCTCACAGGTGCACCGGGACTGTTCGGGTCAACCTGAGATCTAAGCCATGGTCCTTCCCATATGACTTCAGTACTATGCACAGCACCCCACCATCTGTGGCACTGTGGCTGGGCCAATAATGTTCCCCTTTTTAATACATCAAGTCTGCCAAGCAATCATTTGATTAAATTTGAATTTCTGTGTACATCTGCCTGTGAGGAGAGACAGCCCTAGGCTTGTCCATTGAGAATTCTGGTCTGCATGGCAGTCATACTGCTAATGGTAAATTACTAAATTGGACTTAGTTTTAGACCTCAGACTTAGAATTAGAAGTATTGTGCATTTTCCCTGAGAGAAGGATGAACTGTATGGTAGTAAATTTCGACAATGAACCTTGGCACGTTCAACTAGTTAAGCCTCACTGCAAAGCCACAGAGAGGGCAGCCAGCTACCCCACATTGGCTGTACCCGACTGTCCTTTTGAGAATTTGCCTTGACTTGCAATTTGCTAGTTGCAGGTTATGCAAGGGGTAGGTAAAGCAATGTTCTAATAAACTCAGTGGATCTTGTAAAGGGTTTGAATTTTTTTTTTAAATACTAAAGATTTAATTTATAAATAAAATTTATTTCTCAGGTAAAAGTTTAACTTCTTTTCATTTTAACTGAGTTCTTGGGTGTTATTTTCATAGAAAAGACTTTTAACTTTTAGAAGTAAGTATTGTACTAATTATTTCAAAGTTTTTTTTTTAATATCCTGAAAATTAATTTTGTTCTTTCTTTTCTATTTCTCTGTGTGTGTGTGTGAATAATTTCCTTTTAGGGCTTTTACCTTCATTTATTTGCCTGTATGATAACTTTTTAGCAATTTATCTACAACTTCCAAAATTCCAACTTTTCATACTGCCTAACGTTAGAGTCTATAATTTCTCATTCACTAAGGATTTGACTGGGGCTGACTACACTGGGATTATTTCAGTATTCTTTTATTTTCTTTTTAGGCTTCACCATTAATTTACGATTCTATTGCCTCTACTGTCCGGCCGTTTTCTGTTCTGCTAAGTACTGTGAAATTTGGGAGAAAATGTTTTTCTTCTTTTAGACATGTTTTTGGCAGGTAAAGTTATTTGCCTTGATGTAATATATTTGGTTTACCCACATTAACTTGGCAGCTAATTTTTATCACTATTTTATACTAAACTCATATAATATAGCTCCTGTGTCTCACAGTTATTATCACAGTGTACTTTGCACTGTAATGGTTACTTCATTGCCTCCTATTGAACATAAGCTCCTGAACACAGCAGTTCAATCATAATTCTCTTGATACTCCTTTTATCTAATGTAATACCCAGAACATAAAAATTCTCAGATTATATTGTGAATTAGAGAGTTTTAAAAATAGTTTCTGAGGTTTCTAGCTTTTTTCCCCCCATATAACCAATTTATATTATTAAAATGCAAATTTGGTGTGAAGCCCAGTGTCACAATTGAAATTTCTGAATTTGAAATTCTGTTTGTAACTGGAGGAACCATAGAAAATGGAAATCTATTGGGGCCGACAAGTGGCATGGTGGTTAAAGGTGCTGGACTCCCACATGGCCAACTATGGTTCACATCTCGGACCTGGTTGCTTGCTTTCTCACTTCCTCTCTCTCTGTGTGTGTCTCTCTGATAAAACTGGAAAATAATAATGATAATAATAATAAATAAAGTTAAATAAAATAATTCTTTAAAAAAAAAGGAAATCTATGATAAAATGAAAGCCACTTTCATAAACTAGTAGATGAAAAAACCTGAAGGTCTGTACTATGGACTTCATTTTCTTGAGAGTTTAGCATGTACTCTCACTAATGATTATTCTTTAACTATATGCTGTGATTAAAATGTCTAAGTTAACTAGGATTTTAATATTTTCATTTTACTTTCTTCTCTCTTTGAATTTGAATTGTACTTTGAACCAGGTAGAAGTCAAATACTGATCTGACCAGTTTAACCTTTTTGAGTTTACAATGCTCTCTCTGAAAGAAGAGCTCTGAAATGAGATCCTCAACAATTAAATTAAAATATTAATTATTCTTGCTGTTCTATATGCTTTCAAAAACTGTTATCCAGGAAAATGACCTTTGAAATGAACTATACACACACACAAACACACATACATAGAGGAAAACTTCACTTACAGAATTCTAATTCCATTTTTGAATAAATAATTTAATAATTATTCAAGGATTTCTATGATTACGTAAACCAAACACCCTTAATATTGAAAACTTCACCACAGAGAATATTTTATGATACATTGCATAGTCATATTACTTACCTTATATTTTCTTCCTTTTAAGTATCATTTTTCTTGCCACTAGAAATGCCAGAAGCTTAGCAGCTCATTTCTGTTTAATGATTCACTAAAACACTATGAAAGGAGTTTTGTTCACTGTTGACTTTATCTTATCAGTTGTTGCACTCACACAACTACATGTTCCCTTGATGTGTTTGACCACTTGGGTGAATGGCGTGAGAACTATCAAAATCATTTTCTCTAATCTCCACTAACACTATTGACGCATGTTCTCTATACAACTAAACTGGTACTAGCAATAATCTACTTGTTTAAACTCTCACTAACTCCCTCTTTCACCAACCCCCATGGACTGCAATCGGGGATCAAAGCTATAAAAAGATTTTTATAAACTTCTGTTAAAAATTTTATTATTTTATGAGATTCTCCCCATCATTTGTCACTACCTACCTAAGATCTAAAACTCCCTTTGATGATTCAGCAAAGTTTGAATTAAAGGTGTACAGGGTAGCTTTGTCATATTCTTTTCTATAAATAGATTTCCATATTCAAAATTAAATTGAGAAAAATTATAATTTCTATTATTTATTTTAAAAATAAATCATTACACAGGACCAGCAAGTGGTGTGGTGGTTAAGGCGCTTGGACACTCCCACATGGCCAGCCACGGTCTGAGTCCTGGACCTGGTGGCTTGATTTCTCACTTTTTCTCTCTCTCACTCCCTCTCTCTCTGTGTCTCCCTGGAGTCAAACGAAAATAAGTGATGAATAAATAAAAGTAAATAAAAATTTAAAAAATAAAATAAATCATTACATGCAAAATAATAGCACATTGTAATGAAAAAGTAAAAATAGTTCTAAAAACAAAAATATTTTTAAATATTTCTACAATGTCTAGTTTAACAGACAGATGGATTCTGATATCTACTTCTGAATTTAATCTGTTGCAATATAGTGTTCTGAATTCAGCCTTACTCAGATAGGTAGTTGGAAGGAGAACTATTTTAGTAGCTTTTTCAGATCATCATAACTATCATTTGACATTACACCAAAACTCATCAAATAGTAACTTACTAAATGCTAATTGTAATATGGAATCTGTAATCCTATTACACTTTTTGCACACTAATATTAAAGCTTATCAGTTTAGGGGCCAGCAGGTAGCAAATTTTTAAAAATGTGCAATAGGGCCTGTGTGCTCAACAGAGAGAGAAAGGGAAAGCAAGAAAGCAAGCCACCAGTTTCGGGACTCAAATCACAGTCGTCCATACGGAAGTCCAGTACCTTAACCACTACTGGACTTCTACATGGACAATTGCAGCTTAATTCCCAGACCTAGCAGCTTGAAAATCATGCAGGGCACATGTGCATACATGGCCAAAATCCCGAGAGGAGAATAGAGAAGAAGGGATTGGAGTGTGGCCATCCCCCCCAGATGGTGATTTCTCACTTTCCCTCTCTGTCGAGTGTACATTCCCTATGGCAAAAAAACCTAAAAAAAAAAAAAAAAAAAAAAAAGAAAAAGGGCCAGCAGATGGTATAATGGTTAAGGCGCTAGACTCTCCATGTGACTGACCATGGTTCAAGTCCTGTACCTGGCAGCTTGAAACACACCAGACACATGTGTGGGCATGCCCAAAATCCCGAGAGGAGAATGGAGGAGGAGGGGTTGTGGCATAGTCATACCCCCCCGGGGGGGGGTGATTTTTCACTTTCTGTCTGTCTCTCCAGTGAGCACTTGTACCCTACAGCAAAAATCTCTCAAAAAAGAAAACTTAAAGTAAAAAGAATTTATCAGTTCATCTCGCACTGAATCTTTTACTCATACATAATTTTGTCAACATTAAGCAAAATATTGATTTACTAACTTATGCAATGTTCCAAATGTGAATACACTTCATTACATAAGATCCAAAACCGAATCACATTTGTTGATATCACTACTAGCCTAAGTGTTTGAATATAGGGAACACAGAAAGAATGAATATGAGGAGAATGGAGATGAAGGGGTTGTGGCATGGCCATCTCCCCTTGGGGGGTGATTTCTCACTTTCTCTCTTTCTGTTTCCCTTGGTCTCTTTTCAGGGAACACCCACCTTGTGGAATAAAACAATAACAAAAAAAAAAAAAAAAGAAAAGAAAAGAAAGAAAAAGAAAAGGGGTTAGTTCAGCTTTGGAGTCAAAAACAATTGAACATTTGCTTTTCCTAGATAAAAATGTTCATACTTTGATATGCAGTAAGAGTGCTTTATGTAAAAGTCCCACATAATTACACAGAGTATTAAAAGAACTTGCATTCAAGGGTGGAGCCTGCATAAAAATGATTACACTGCTTCATCAGATTTTATGAAAATATTTTCACGCTTTCATTCTTAATAAAACTGTTTTTGTAACTCTCTTGGCATGCCAGTGAGGAAAACAAGAACTATTAGAAAAATCTGGAGTCATTTCCTTGATTTGTGAGAGCAGTTTGACTCACAATTACAATTTTACTTTCAATGCAATTCTTTTTAAAAAAAATATTTATTATTATTATTATTATTATTTTTAATTCGCTGTAGGGCATGTATGCTCACCAGAGGGAGACACAGAGAAAGAAAGAGAAAGGGAAAGTGAGAAAGTAAGCCGCCAAGTTCAGGACTCAAATTGCAGTTGGCCATGTGGGAGCCCGTGCCTTAACCACTATACCACCTGCTGGCCCTTTCAGTGCAAATTTTAAGGACGTGAAAATGGAAAATAACATTATTTGATTTGATAAAAACTGTTCTGATCTCAGTGACCTGTAAAAGTGTCTGGAACCTACCATATTTAGTGATATCACTTTGAGAACTACTGGTCAAGTGAAAAAAACTTCCATCCAGAGTTAGGAGATCTATGGGGTAGCTGAGCTTTACTGAAATTATAGGTAAATTTCTTAAAATATTAACTTATTAATTTCAGTTTCTTCATATAGAACCTATGAACATGTAAAGGTTCCCTTGGAATAATAACATATTGTGATATTACTGGAAAATATGTCTGTGTGTATATATGTATACACATACATATCCTGTTTATCATTTCACATTATTGTGATTCATAGATATTGCGTTGTTTTTTTTGTTGTTGTTAGTTTTTTTTTGCAAACTAAAGGTTTGCAGCAACGCTCTTTCAAGCAATCCTGTGGGCACCATTTTCCCCAAAGCACATGCTCACTTCATGTTTTTGTGTCAAATTTTTGTAAGTCTCTCAATATTTCAAACATTTTCATTGCTATTGGATCCTTTATGGTGATCTGTGACCACTGATATTTCCTGTTATTATCACAGTTGTTTCAGGGACCATGAACCATACCCATATAAGACGGTTAACTTAATCAATGTGTGCGCTCTGACAGTTCCATCGCCTGGCAGTTCTTCCACCTCTTTC